AATAAACAATGGTGGTTGGTGGACAGATTTCGCGTTATTGTTGTCAGGGTCGATGGAGGGGAGAAAAGGGGGTAAGGGATGGTGGAGGAAGTTGCGGACAGAATGTCAATCTCTAGCCATTGTTTATTTATTTCATTACCATATAAATGTAAAGGCCTGATGAGAATGTATCGAAAACAAACGTATATTCGCCAATTTATCTTCTGACATACATATATATTAATTTGTACTGAAATTAAAACTGTATACTTACCTCAGCCTCTTTTTCTAAAGCAAGTTGCAATTCCTTCATTGCTGCGTGGTCATTAATTCGAATAGCTGGCCGACCGATGAGACGGATGAGTCGTCGACGCACCTCTTGAAAGTGATATGAACTAGAAGCATAATAAGCCATTTTCTTTAGTAAAGCTGCTGAATGACTCCTAGCCTCTAAAATGTGAAAATACTTCTGCCAATGTTTGAACAGCCTTATTATCCCCAAATCCGCATTGTGCACATGCATGGAGTTCATGTCTAACTAGGAAATTGCAAAACACTAGTCGTTACCATGACAGTATGGAAATTAGGACAGACGCATTAGCTTAAGTCCTAGTTAGGAAGATTTATCCAGGTCGATGAAGGATCGCATATGGGAAGTCTCAAGGAGTAAAATAAGTGCGTTTTTTCTGTTTCTGCATATCACAACCCCGCGCTCTATTCGGGCAACTATATATTTGAACCGCGCTCAAACAGAGCCGACCTAAAAGTGATTGTACTTTTGAGCAGTCATGGCATAGCTTTATAATTTGTAAGTTGCCCTGTGTGCCTAGCATGATTTCGATAATAAGGCACTTTGCATAAGCACATCTGAAGTTTGCAAACCTTAGCCTGGGTTTTCGGACAAACTGCTTGTTCCTATTAAACGTTTATGCACTCCCTCACCGATGGTTTCCAAAACGCTTTGGTGTCAACATCTTTTCTAGTCATGGCTAGGCTCGGACCTATCACATTCTTCTGGTCACACAGCCAACGTCTAGAAAGTACCAGCGGATAGCAAGTAAACCTGTTTGGAAATGTTGATAGCTCAATCCATTCCTGGTGGCGAACACGCCTAAAGGTTCCTTATAGTTGCAGCAGCTCAGTATGGCAGTGGACAGTAGATAAACTTGGAAATCTTGGCAATCTTTCATCGTCACCAGCCCGTTTATACTTAAACGGCAGATTTTATTAAAGGCAGAGATTCTTCGGATTACTACTGCGACTCGAATTAAGATCAGAATTATCGAATAGCTTGAATGGCTTCCCGTCAAGTATATGGCCAGACTTCTGGCTTAGAAGACTACCATTTCATATGAGGTACATATCCGTTGGAAGGGGTGTTCATTGATTAATTCTAATAGAATGGCAGAATGAAGGACTTCAGTCCTTTTACCCTGGAATTCTGTCCTAGGGTCCATTTACACAGTGCCACATCAATGAGAAATCAATAAAAGAACACTCCTTACAATAAAGACAAAGCAGGCTGGAAGGAAGGAGGGATCTTTTCGATCCGTTATCAACCTAATGCAGCTGTGAGAGAACTCTATAAACAAGAAGGGGCAGGGATTCATCGTAGGGCCGCCCCATGTCAAAAGTTTCCCAGCCCAAGTGTTTTACGGATTTTTTAGTTAGAGGTTTAATGCATGATTAGTGCGTACTTAATGTGTTTTCAATGCATGATAAGTGCATCGTAGGAAATAAATGAAAGGCGTTTATAATCGTTTAACTGAATTAAAACGTAGATGGAAAGATTGCGGAAAGGAAAAAAAACTGAAAGGAAAACCTATAGGGCAAAGAAAACGATTAGAACAAAAGGCAAAGGTAGGATAGGCGGAGGAGGATATTTTCAGAAATGTGAAGTAAAAATGTATTTGAAGTTGTTTCCCCTGGCCGCTGAGAGTAAGTAGTTCCGCATGTAATTTCAAGGTGTGCGCAGCGCTTCGCACCGGAGGCTATACCAATCTAGCTCCAGAACGGTAAGTTGGAACACAGGTAAGTTGAG